AGTGTTGCACCATATTTTATTTCTGTCAGTGTTGCACCATATATTTTTTCTGTCAGAGTGTTGCACCATATTTTATTTCTGTCAGTGTTGCACCATATTTTATTTCTTCAGAGTCGTACACAATATTTTATTTCTGTCAGTGTTGCACCATATTTTATTTCTGTCAGAGTGTTGCACCATATTTTATTTCTGTCAGAGTGTTGCACCATATTTTATTTCTGTCAGAGTGATACATGGTATTTAATTTCTGTCAAAGTGATACACCATATTTCATTCCTGTCAGTGATACATGGTATTTAATTTCTGTCGGTCATACACCATATTTTATTTCTGTCAGTGATACATGGTATTTTATTTCTGTCAGAGTGATACATGGTATTTAATTTCAGTCAGTGATACATGGTATTTAATTTCAGTCAGTGATACATGGTATTTAATTTCTGTCAGTGATACAAGATGTTTAATTTCTGTCGGAGGTATACACCGCATTCAATTTCTGTCGGAGTAAGACAAGGTTTTTAATTTCTGTCTGAGGTATAAATTGTATTTAATTTATGTCAGAGTGATACATGTTTTTTTTATTTCTATCAGTGTGGTACATACTTCTTTTCTGTCAGAATGATGCATTAAGTTACATTGCATTTTTATTTCACTATGTGTCGCTCTGACAAATAAACATGTTTTATGATGTACCACAGTGACCAATACATTGACATTGTATTTCAGTTGTAGGGGAAGGAGGCACAGCTAATTTCTCCGATGTTGTGTTACCTGGCGGACTCAGCCATGACGATTACAATACTAACATTACCATAGAAGTCACTGACAAATATAATGGCACTGCCTCGTATAATTTCCTTGTACTGGTATGTAGATAACAATTAAATTTACCTCAATATGGTTAAGTATGTGACTGTAAGAGCCTGTATAGAGTGCATGCTTGAGCAAACTTAATATCAAAGGATAATGTGTAGGCACCTGTAATACATCTCTAGGAGAAATATAAAGTTTGTTCAAGAGTGCGCTCTATGGTAGCTAAGAAAAAAACTAGGCGAAAAAACCTGTCAAAATTGACTGCAAATATTAACTGGTTAGTATGGCAGCCATAATTGAAAACACAAATAAATGTTTACATAAAAGTACCGGGGAAGTATTTAAAATTAAAGAAACAGTCATTTGAAAGTTCTATTGAAGATTTCTGATTTTGATGGATTTGGGGGCCAAAAAAGGTCAAAACTATATATAGTCTTTTGTACGAAAATTACAGTGGAGTTCTGTCGTGATTTTCCTGCGATGGGCAGGATCCTAAAAAAACAGATGAAACTTAACACAATTATTCCGGACATCGGTCACTTAATTAAATAAATCATAATCACAGCTACAGCTCATATTAACATGGTCATCGAAAAATGTTCAACCAGATCTAACAAAATACCTCCTAAACCAAGTAAACTGATTTCTGAATGCCACACATTATGTAAGAGTACAATTCTGAAAAGTTCTTCCTTTTATGGAGAGATGTGTCATTTATTAAAAAAATGTCTTTGCTTTCAGGGAGGGTAGATATTATATAACATACAGAGAGGCATATTTAACTTAACCTTGGTTACAGTTCCTTGTTGTCAACCATGGAGTCCCTGTTAACCTCAAACATTCATTGTGACAGGTGTACCCGTCTGTAACAGAGTACATAGACACCATCAACCAGCCTCCGGTCAGTACCTCTGGATGTGTGGTCAGTCCGCTAAGTGGATATACACTGATTACCAACTACACCGTGATCTGTAGTCAGTTTACAGATCTGGACCCTCCGTTGACATACTACCTTTATCACAAAGGCCAGACTTCAGACACAGGTTGATAATTAACATGCTACTAATTTACTATCACCAAGCTTCTAGTTGAAATGAGATTGTTTGGTTCCCACAGTCCATTTATCTTTTATGATTCAATAAACTTATACTTTTCATTATACTGATACTTTTCATTTTTACTTTTTTTATACGCCCGTCAAATTTGATGGAATTATTATGGTATGGGGTTGTCCAGCCGGCGTAAACTTTGTTTGTTCGGCAATATCCTCCTACATTTTTTGACCGCGATCTCTTTGAAACTTGGTATACATTATAATCATGATATGAAGTTGTGTCTCCCTTTAAAGAATTTTGATTCAACAATTTTTCCAAATATTATTGCCCTTTGTTCATTTCAGTATTTGATTTTTTTGTCCGGAGATCTCCTTGTACAATTTTTGACGGATTTCTTTGAAACTTAGTAGGCTAAATAATCATGGTATGAAGTTGTGTCTCCCTTAAAAGAATTTTGATCTGACAATTTTTCCAAAAGTTATTGCCCTTTGTTCATTTCAGTATTTGTTTTTTTGTCTTGAAATCTACTACTACATTTTTAGCTCACCAGCTGGTCCAAAGGACCGCCATACCGCAGCGTCCGTCGTCCGTCCGTCCGTCAACTTTTCCTTTAAATCGCTACTAGTCATGAACGACTGAGCAGATTTTGACCAAAGTTGGTCAAAAGTATCCTTGGGGGAAGAAGAACAAATGTTGTATAAATGGTGGGTCTGGGGCCCCTGGGGGCTGAGGGGCGGGGCCCAATAGGGAAAATATAGCAAATTCTTTAAAATCGTATTCTTATGTAGGAATGAAAGGATTTGTTCCATATTTGGTCTGAAGCATTCTTGGGTGAAGGGGAACTAATTTTGTATAAACCGTAGCTCTGGCCCCCCTGGGGGCTGAGGGGTGGGGCCAAACAGGGGAAATATAACAAATTCTTTAAAATCCTTCTTCTTCTGTAGGAATAAAAGGATTTGTTCCATATTTGGTCTAAAGCATCCTTAGTAGAAGGGGAACTAATTTTGTATTTAAACAATTGGTATGGCCCCCCCAGGGGCCTGAGGGGCGGGGCCAAATAGGGGAAACATAGCAAATTATTCTTTAAAATCCTTCTTCTTCCGTAGAAATACAAGGAGTTGGTCCATATTTAGTGTGGAGCATCCTTGGGTGAAGGGAAACCAATTTTGTATAAACTTTGGGTCTGGTCCTCTCAGGGGCCTGAGGGGCGGGGTCCAATAGGGGAAACATAGAAAATTATTCTTTAAAATCCTTCTTATTTTGTAGGAATGAAAGGATTTGTTCCATATTTGGTTAGAAGCAACTTTGGGTGAAGGGGAACCAATTTTGTATAAACCGTGGGTGTGGCCCCCTAGGGACCTGAGGGGCGGGGCCCAAGAGGGGAAACATAGCAAATTATTCTTTAAAATCCTTCTTCTGTAGGAATGAAAGGATTTGGTCCATATTTGGTGAGGAGCATCCATGGGTAAAGGGGAACCAATGTTGTATAACAGTGGGTGTGGCCCCTCTGGGGGCTGAGGGGTGGGGCCCAATAGGGGAAATATAGCAAATTCTTTAAAACATATTCAGGTGAGCCTCTTGTTTGACGGATTTCTTTGAAACTTAGTAGGCTAAATAATCATGTTATGTTGTTGTGTTTCCTTGAAAAGAATTTTGATTCAACAATTTTTGCAAAAGTTATTGCCCTTATTTCAGTATTTGATTTTTGTCCGGCAATCTCCTCCTACATTTTTAGCTCACCTGGTCCAAGGTCCACCGTCTGTCAACTTTTCCTTTAAAACGCTACTAGTCCTGAATGGCGAAGTAGATTTATAAATGGTGGGCGTGGCCCCCCTTGGGGCAGAGGGTGGGGCCCAATAGGGGAAATAGAGGTAAAACCTTTAAAATCCTTCTTCTACCGTAGGGATTAAGCGATTTTATCCTTATTTAGTCTTGAGAATCCTTGGGCCAAGTGGACTCAATTTTGTATACACCGTGACGTGGGTCTGGCCCCCAAGGGGCCTGAGAGGCTGGACCCAATAGGGGAAACATAGCAAATTGTTCTTTAAAATCCTTCTTATCCTTTAGGAATGAAAGGATTTGGTCCATATTTGGTGTGGAGCATCCTTGGATAAAGGGAAACTAATTTTGTTTAAACGGTGGGTCTGGCCCCCCCTAGGGGCTTAGGGGCGGTGCCAAATGGGGGAAATTTAGCAAACTCGTTAAAATCCTTCTTCTTCTGTAGGAATGAAAGGATTTGTTCCATATTTGGTCTGAAGCAACCTTTGGTGAAGGGGAACCAATTTTGTGTAAACCATTGGTCTGGCCCCCCTGGAACCTGAGGGGCGGGGCCCAATAGGGGAAAAACATTTATAATCCATCTTCAACCATAGGGATTAAGGAATTTTATCCTAATTAAGTCTGGAGCATTTTTGGGCAAAAGGGACTCAATTTTGTATACAACGTGACGTGGGTCTGGCCCCCGAGGGGCCTGAGAGGCTGGGCCCAATAGGGGAAACATAGCAAATTGTTCTTTAAAATCCTTCTTATCCTTTAGGAATGAAAGGATTAGAAAGAATATAACACTATATGGCATTCGACAGGTGTATATTGTTCCGCCCCGCGGTACTCTTGTTAAAAATGTTTGCAATATTATCAGGTCGCCATGAAATACTGGGATCAAGTGTCCGTCAGTGCTTTTGTCCGTTCGTCCGTACGTCTGTCTGTCCGTCCGCCCACATACCTGCCTTTGGATGGAAATTTGTTGCCGTGTTTATCATGATGTTTACACTTGGAATTTAAATTTGTTTTTATCTGAAGGCATTTCCCTTTTGTGTTATCTTAAACTTAATTTGGTAAAAGTACCCTACTCACCTTCTTGATATGGATGAAACTTGGTATGTTACTATAATAACGATCTGTAATTTGTTTCAAATTTTGTTAACGAAATAGGCCCCTTCCCTGCCCTTTTGTATACATTTGGGAATGGATTGGGATTTTGAAAGCAAATTATGAACGTTGAAAAATACTATTTAAAGTTATAATACTAGGAATGTTTCATGTGTTAAAATAAGAGAAATATGTTATTTTTATGGCTCCAGAGGATAAAGTTCACAGAGAATTGCTGTGTGAATCCAAGATGAAAACAATCAAGTGTGATGCTGGAGACACCATTAAGATCATGTCTGCTATGTATGGTCGCAAAGCCAGATCAGTGTGTCCTCACGCAGCTGTGTCTAACCTTAAATGTGAGGCAGAGTCCTCCATGGTCAAGGTCAGTCAGGCTTGTGATGGCAAGGATAAATGTGTCCTCTCCGCCACCAACTCAGTGTTTGGGGATCCTTGCGGGGAAACATTCAAATACCTGGATGTTCAATACAAATGCAACACTGGTAAGTCTGAATATCCCAACATTAATATAATTAAGCATAAGTTAAAAATGCATAAATATTTGGCAACGCAAATACTACTTGCAGTTGGAATGATACTGGTTGTTCACAAACTAGCACTGCTTAGATAGCATCCTGCCGAGTGCCTCTCTATCCAAATTCTGTCTTATATAGACTACCTGACGGTTTGTCTATATAGGGTATCCGACTTGCCTGAGGGTCGGATTACCGAGACAAAGCAGGCCGACATCCAGGACAGAGTGACCCCTGCCCTGAACGGGGCATTGAGAGCGCTGGCAGCTTTACAGGTGTTATCACTCTTCAATGTCTTGTTGGCTAGGTGGTTTTCAGTTTTGAAAGAAAAACCGCCCAGTTGATGAGCCTTACCGCTCCCGTTTGTTGACTGCCCCCTTCTCAGGGTCCACTCTTTTTGTAGGGGCCCTTCATTCTGTTCAGAAGGATTTGAAGGAGGACTTGGTCGCCTCTGCACTTCTCGTTAAGAGGATTCAGGCTGAGAAGGCCAGTACCTCGCATGGTTCAGCGCCTCCTAAGAAGAAGACTAAACCTTTGGCTTCGCAGTAAAAGCCTCCCTTTAAGGGCAACAAAGGGAAGCATAAGAAGGGTAAGAAACCTCCTGGGGGTAAGAAGGGTTCCTGACACTCTTCTTCCCTCCTTGGTCGTGTCAGATGACGAGATTGGCCAGGGGGGACTGCAGTCCTCTCAGCTCAAGCTTAGGTCCTTCTCCCGCAGGATTAGGCTTTGGGTCAGCAGACGGTTCTCTTGCCTGGCAAGATCTCAATTTGCCTCAACCAGACCTTCCTGTGGGGGGGTCGTCTTTCCGCTTTCCTTCTAGAGTGGAAGGAAATTACCGAAGACGCATTGGCCTTGTCTGTGGTCAAGTAAGGGCTAGGCATTCCGCTAGTGCGGGATCCGCCCTTAGCGTCAGAGCCAAACTTTTTTCCTCCACCGGGGGATCTGGAAAAGGCTCTGGCACTCCTGGAGGAAGTAGGGACCATGCTTACCAAGGGCGCGGTCGAGGAGGTTCCTATGTCGGTATGCACTACTTCAGTTCTACTCCAGAATGTTTCTGGTTCGGAAGGAGTCACTTCAAGATGGAGACTCCTCAGGGTATTATCGCCTCCATCAGAGAGGGAATATTTGCGACATCATTAGATCTTAAGGACGCCTACTTCCGCATCCCTATCAAGAAGTCGGCACGGAAGTACCTCTGTTATATGTGCAACGGAAAGGTATTCCAGTTCCAGGCCAGCATGCCGTTCGGGCTCACGACTGCACCTTTGGTTTCCACCAAGCTGCTGCAGGTGGTCGTGGGATTCCTGTTCACATCTATTTCGACGATTCACTCATGCTCCATCTAGTGAGAGTCTCTGGTGCTGGATACCCGGTTGGTTCTGAAAGTCTTGCTCAAGGTCGACTTCATTCCTTCCAGAGAAAAGTCGGAGGTTTCCCCATCTCAGGATTTTGTCATCCTGGGGAATCGTTTCAATATGGTTCAGGGAATTGCCCTTCTACCGATGGAGAAATTTGAGAAGATGTTTCTCCTTGCAAACTGGGTCCCTTCTTCAAGGAATTGGGAAGCTTGGCTTCCTCTGAACCAGTCGGTCAAGGGGTTCCTTTGTCCAAGCCGGCTGCCACGATGAACCTGTACACGGATTCATCCATGACAGGATGGAGAGCTTACCTCGACAGGCATTGCCGGTCGGGGGAGTGGTCTAGGGAACAGCTCTCGGAGCACATCAATGTGCTCGAGCTGAGGGCTGTTCTGTTGGCTCAGCAGTCTCTTCGGGAGATCCTGCATTCCAAGGTGGTTTGTGTGGCTATGGACAACTCTACATGCAGTTGTCGTGTATCTGGAGAGACAGGGGGGAACCAGGTCTCGCACCCTGTGTACCCTCGTTATCTTCATTCTTTTTTGTCAGTAAATGCAGTTGACAATTTGTGTCAAGCATCTTCCAGGCAGGTTGAATGTTCTTGTGGATACTCTTTCCAGGCGGCGCCGGCTGGTTTTGACAGAGTGGCAACAGAATCTCTCGATTATAGAGGGAATTTGTCAGGTGTTGGACAGGCCCCACATAGACCTGTTTGCCACTTCATTGAACAATCAGTTGCCAACGTTTGTCTCTCCGGTTCAAGATCCGAGGGCTTGGGTCTCTGGATTGGGAGGGAATGCATGCATATGCATATGCATTCTCGCCCTTTAACCTGGTGGTCAGGGTGCTACAGAAGTTTCAGGAGCATCTGTGATCCGAAACGAAAGCAAGGACCAAACTTGTACACCAAACACGGAAGGCATTTGGACTGCAGTACGGAAGTTTTATTAGCTCAAGTGACCTATTGCTATCCGTCGTCGTCCGTCAACATTTTACATTTTCAACTGAAATACTGGCAAAGGGATTTCATTGATACTTCATTGGAAGGTTACAGACATCTCCCTGACCAAGTGTTGTTATTTTTTGGGTCAATCAGAAATCCAATATGGCCACTACGGTTGCCATTGTGAAAAACTATTTCAAACTTAAAGTCAAGTTCTGCTGGGTCGATTGAACTGAAACTTTGTAGAAATGATTGACTCATGGTCTTGACAAACTTAAGTTAACGTTATACTTAACAATTTTTTATGGCTGCATGAAGAATACCGCAACTATCTGTTACCTGTAAGTTGCATGTTGGCAAAACCTGTTTTTGATGCCAATAGTTGCAGTTTTCTTCATGCAGCCATGGAAGGTGAGCTAAAATATTGGTTGTATATTTTATAATGAAAATTTTTAATTTCAGGTTAATGTTAATGTTGTTTAAGTTACTGCTTGTTTATAACTACATCCGGTATATGGGTCAATACATTTTTATACAACGAGGACTTGATATTTGGATTTGTGATACAAAAACTACATTTAGAATTGTTGAAATGAATTATTTAAGTAATGAGAAGTATAATTTAGAAGATGAAATTAGTTCTTTTTATGAAGTATATATAGATGTAGGCTTAAATAATTAGCCCCCCCCCCCCCCAAGCCTGCTATCTATATCCCCATGTGTACTCCCTGAATAGGAATCCCCAAGCATTCGCTGACCAGCATGCATGGAATTGGAAGACCCTCATGTTATACTGTTGCTAAGCAACACAAAGGGATACATGGGGTTTGCCAGAATTATCCTTACTGATTAAGAGATCTTGATCAAGAAACATTTAGTGAAAAGGAAACATTTGGTGATACCAGACCTTTTTAAATCACTCTTCGGAATCAAATTGTAAGTTAAATTGGAGGGTTGCATAATTAAATTATATTAAATTTAATTTAAAATTATATTGATAAGTTAGTTTTGATATTACAGTTGTTGGATCGCACAACGTTGCACGATGTGCGTTGTGCGCACTGAGTGTGCACGATGTGCGAACAATTAAAATCTAGACGATTATGACTTGCACACATTTGTGCAGAAACATAGCCACTTTGCACCTGGACCATAGTTTTCCCCATCCAGGCACTTATGTGACTGGCCAAGGTGTGAAAATCCAGGTGAAGGGGAGCTATAGACCAAAACGAATGCAAATAACAAATACTTAACATCCAGTTGTGTTATATCAGCTCTCTTTGTCAGGCACAGGCCAGGTAAAACTCCGGTCAGTCATTAAAATGTTATTTACCTGTTCCGTTATATATACCTTGAAGCTTAACCCATTCTTGACTAGTCTAACGATCATTTAAATGCTGTGTAACCACGCATTGTAAAATCAAACATAATACTAATTAATTTGTTGAGAAATTTATGCTTACATTGTTCAATATTCCATACGAGGGTTCAGGATTTTTTTCATTTCGTAATATTGATCAACCAATTCAACCAAATCGTACATTTGCGCGGAGCTCTCCTCCTACATTTTTTCACAGATTTCTTTGAAACTTAGTAGGCTAAATAATCATGATATGTTGTAGTGTTTCCTTGAAAAGAATTTTGCTTCAATAATTTTTCGCAAACCTTATTGCCTTTGTTTATTTCAGTATTTGATTTTTGTCCGGCAATCTCCTCCTTCGGATATCTTTGAAACTTGGTATACATTATAATCATGATATGAAGTTGTGTCTCTCTTAAAAGAATTTTGATTCTACAATTTTTGCAAAAGATCTTGCCCTCTGTTCATTTCAGTATTTAATTTTTTACTGGAGATTTTCTCCTACATTTTTTATAGCATGTCAGCTAACCACTCTTAGAATGATGTAGATCTTATTTCAATACATGTAAGAAAGCAGCATTTTTAACATAGCAAAAGTTTAGCTTCAGAATACTGGAAAAAGTTTAGCTTCAGAATACTGGAAACATATATATAAAGAGATCAGGCCTGTATGAATCACTCTCCTCACGTATAATTTGATTTTCTTTCTTTATATTGAATAATCATATAAAGTTTTGCTTTTTAAACTCCTACTCTTTCAGTATGTCCGTCCGTCAACTTTTCCTTCAAACAACTTCTTCTAAAGAACGAACAGGCATAGAGCCATGATATTTGACTGAAAGCTTCGTTGGCAGGAAAATGACCTTGACCTACTTTTAAGATCAAATATATCACACTCTTCAAACGACTTCTTCTGAAGAACTGAAAGGTAAAGAATCTTTATATTTGGCTGGTGGTTTCCTGGGATAGAGCCCAACAAAGTTTGAGAATGAAAATGACCTTGACCTACTTTCAATGTCAAAGCGGTAAAATATGTCAAACCCTTCGAACGACTTCTTCTGAAGAACTAAAAGGTATAGAATCTTCACATTTGACTGGTAGCTTCCTGGGATAGAGCCCGACAAAGTTTGAGAATGAAAATGACCTTGACCTACTTTCAAGGTCGCAGCGGTCAAATATGTCAAACGCTTTAAATGACTTCTTCTGAAGAACTAAAAGGTATAGAACCTTCATACTTGGCTGTTGGTTTCCTGAGATAGAGCCAGACAAAGTTTGAGAATGAAAATGACCTTGACCTACTTTCATGGTCACATGTGTCAAATATGTCAAAAACATCAAACGACTTCTTCTGAATAATCGAAAGGCATCAAATTATAATATTTGGATGGTGGCTTCCTGGGAAAGTGCTCACCAAAGTTTGCAAATGAATATGACCTCGACCTACTTTAAAGGTCACATTTCAAAGGATTTTCTGAAGAACCAAAAGGAATGGATTCATATGATCTGGCTGGTAGCTTCTTGGGATAGAGCCAGCAAAGTTTGAGAAGGAAAATGACCTTGACCTACTTACAAGGTCAGAGTGAAAAATATGTCAAACAATTTCTGAAGATGAACCAAAAAGCATAGACTCTTTTAATAATATTTGGCTGGTAGTTTCAATAGATGGAGCCGACAAAGTTTGCGAGGGAAATTCTAGTAATGCAATATAATATTTAATGAGAATATTTTGCTATGACTGCTTAAATATTCAGGTGAGCGATACAGGCCCTGGGCCTCTTGTTTGTGTGGAGCACCCTGGGCCTAGGGGATCACTGTACAATAGAAACAATGGTATGACCCTCATTGGAGCAGACATGTGGGAACTTATAGCATATCAGTTAAGCTTTAAATCGGCTATTCTCCTTCTGCACTGGTGAAAAGATTTAATTAAAGTTGGTCTGGAGCATACTTTGGCTAATGCTGAACATTGTATACACGATTAAAAGGCCATGTTTAGATGTTAGGTACTATTTTTTGTCACATCACCACATATAACAGTTGATGACTATTATAGGCCAATGGGCCACAAGTTAAAATCATAATCCTCCAATACCAATCAAGGGATTTTAACAAATTTAGTATCAACAGTGTTTAACATAGGGGACTTGGGTATTGTATAAATGAAGAATGTTGCTATGGGTATCCCCACCCTTTAATGATAGGTATCATTGCTGGGCATGACGAGACAAATACATCCATGCTACCTTCTTGGAATCTGGCCTTAGGTATGGTGACCAGGTCACTGGGTATCCCCACCCTTTAATGATAGATACCATTGCTGGGCATGAAGAGACAAATACATCCATGCTACCTTCTTGGAATCTGACCTTGCGTATGGTGACCAGGTCACTGGGTATCCCCACCCTTTAATGAAGGAAATACACTCATGTTACTGTGATTGCCCTTGTGACCTTGCAAAGCCCTGGGGAGTTTGTCCTTTTTGACGGATTTGGAATTACCTGCTGAGTGAAGACCATTAAATCACTCTAAAATGTTGTAATAACAATACAATGTTTTTACATATTTTTCAGAGTTTCTTTTGTATAAAGGAAATGATACCAAAACAACTGGTTTTTATCTTGGTGAGGGCCTGGGAGAGAACCACACTGTTTCTCTAGTGTTTAGGGCTAAGGACGCTTACAATGCAGCTACAGACATAGACCTTCCTGTTGAGGTAAAGTATAAACAAAGGGAGTTCATTCTCCTGCAACAAAGTTAAAGGTGAATCAACTTGTCCATTTGTCTGTCTGTAGACAACATCCCTCCTCCATAGTTACTAATCTATTTTGATGAGACTTGGTGATGTACACATGCACGCTAAATTAATCATGTAGTTGATAATGTTAGTGGTTTTGTAGGTCAATTTGGAATGAAGATATCATGGTTTTGTAAGTCAATTTGGACTGAAGATATCATGGTTTTGTAAGTCAATTTGGACTGAAGGTATCATGGTTTTGGGAGCGTCTGGTAATGTCTGTAAACAATTTGGACTGAAGGTATCATGGTTTTTGGAGCGTCTGGTAATGTCTGTCAACAATTTGGACTGACGGTATCATGGTTTTGGGAGCGTCTGGTAATGTCTGTAAACAATTTGGACTGAAGGTATCATGGTTTTGGAAGCGTCTGGTAATGTCTGTCAACAATTTGGACTGAAGGTATCATGGGTTTTGGAGCGTCTGGTAACGTCTGTCTGTCATAACTTTAGACTGAAGGAATCATGGTTTTGGGAGCGTCTGGTAACGTCTGTCTGTCATAACTTTAGACTGAAGGTATCGTGGTTTTGGGAGCGTCTGGTAACGTCTGTCTGTCATCACTTTGATTTCTTCAAGATAACTTGATTAAATATCATTTCTTTTATCCCTATCCTTTATATCTGTCACATGGGTTGTTTGACTGTCTGTAATGCTTGTCCACAGGTCATACAAAGTTCAAACTTGGTGTTCGGGTTGCTCTAGTAGATGTAAAGATTTTGGACATGATCCCCAGAGGTAAAGATTTCCATAGATTTTGGACATGATCCCCAGAGGTCAATGTAATTGTTGCTAGAAATTACAGGCATTCAATTTCATTCACGATATATTTTTCTGGATTTTCGATGCGTCACGATCTGAATATAAGTGTATGCCACTTCAGCCGAAACGTCTGTGAGACGTTCAATTTCATTGGCTGATCTCTAAACCCTCAACCAATCGGCTGCGAGACTGCACATTTCACAAAGCATTCATAACAAAATGGCGGACTGCCGTAAGGAAATGAAAATTTGTGATGCTCCGGCAAGCTTCAAATCAAAAGTGTGGAAACACTGCGGGTTTCCGTGTATCGACGGCTTATATATATCATTTTGATTTTATTTTAAAATAAAGGTGTATCGAATCGAAATAATCAAATTGTGGTACAAATATCGAGATACGTATCAATCGTGGGTAAAGTGTATCGTGACAGCTCTACTAGAAGTTGAGTTTTGCATTGCTTGTCTGTATGATAACTTAAGGATGAATGACCATACTTATTTGAAACTTTGTGTATGAGTGGTCCTAAACCCTAGAAGATTTAAGGAGTATTGGGGGGTGGGGTCAGCCACATGGTGAGTCTTGCTGACCTGCCACTCAGTAGTCTAGTTGAACACTTACAAGGCAAACTTTCGAAACATCTGTTATCTTTGAAAACAGATGTCTTTAAAAACAACTCGATAACTAAGCCACAATGTGCCGAGTCGGTAAAGTCAGCTGTCAGAAATTATCAGGTGATTTCGCCAAACAGCACTCAAATACTACAGGCAGTCAGAGGGACAAGTGATATGTCTACCCATTCCGCCCTTTAAGGGATGTTAAAATGGGGTCATAAAATTGACTCATTTGGCCCCCTCATCTCTATTCATGGATTCCTCTTCCTTTCTAACCCAAATTGATTCTTTGATTTTCCTCACTTTCAAGTTGTCCTCCCTTTCAAAAGTACTTTGTTTGTTCAGACTATGATATGGTTGTATATGTTAGTATGGTCTGTAATGGCTAATTTATTGTATTGTTTCTCCAATGTCCTCCTTGTATTTCTAGTGTAAACTTGCTGTTTCATGGCTTCAATGTCTTTTGCTGTTCTATTAAGCATTTCAAAAATTTCTGGCCAGTTTCCACAAGGCATGCAAGGCTGCAGATATTACATGGAATATGATAAAACCTGTCTTAAACGTCTTGCTTCAGAAATAAGTCTTTCAAACGATCTAATAGTTGTTTGATGGTGTTGTGTGGTCGCATAGGAGTGCTGATGTGATGTTTGCGCAGCACTCTTGAAACTGCTTCAGACACTCTTTTTATGTAGTGACCATGACGTCAGTTTTTCTCTCTGTTTGTACGTTTGTGTTTCTTAGGGCCATTCCTTGCACAAAGGGTCAGAATTGGTATAAATAGTATCTGTCCTGCTGACTCCCTGTATTATTTGAGTGCTGTTTGGCGAAATCTCGTGACAATTTCTAACAGCTGACTTTACTTACTCTGCACATTGTGGCTAAGCAAGTTTATAGTGGCTTGACGAATCTCGTTCTGAGAATCTCATCAGCATAGTAGTATAGAAAGACAAAGGTTGAGTTGGAAGTTGAGCAAAATCTGTGCAACATTAATTAGCATTCTGCACTCTGAACAGTTAGCTAGGTTTCTGCACAGTAGCTTGTGATATAGTGAATGAACTTTGATGAAACTTGGTCAATATTTACACTAGTTGCCAAATCTGCCAGATATTAATAAACATTTAAAAATATATTTGGTTTACATAGTTCAAGATTAATTGTTTATTTACAAACAAATATTTTTAAACACATGGTCTGTCATCAATCCATCTGAGCGTTTGTCAACCATCAACAATTTCTTTGAATAACTTCTTTTACTGATGGTTGACCCTCTCAGGAGGCTGTGTAAACCACATTCAAAACTCTCTGAAACTAAATCTTATCTGGTCTAAAAATTCCAATATGTTGCAGGTATATTGAACTCTGTAGATTGCAGGTATTTTGACAATGTTGCAGGTATTTCTTAAATAATTGATATTTAAGTATTGCCATTACAATAGCATACGGTGGCCATGGGTGATATTTTTGTACATTGAATAACCCCTGTAATATTACATGTATTAAAACTTAAAAACCAAATCAGCACTAAAATTGGCATATACATGATAAAGTGGACTATGTAGGCTTCACATTTTAATTTGGTTTGAGACTACATTTTTGGCCATTGACAAATCTGTGTCTACACAACAAAAGCTAGCTTTTCATGCAGTCTATTTTTGTACCCAGCACATGTGTAAATATTGTGAAAAATCCAGTTGAACGACCGTTGCTAAGACGTGAGTATTTCTTTTACCGTGTAGGTGATATTCAATTTCAGACAGGTTTTAAGCAAAAAAATACTACTTGCATGTGTCAAACCTTGGGGTTAAAAATCATGTTATTTTGCATTTTTTTGCGTTTTTTTATGTGGTAACCATGGTTTTCACAAGTCATAAATCTGGGGAAATCACTTTTTGAAAAAAAAAACATTCTTCTGAAAGGAATGTATTCAAAATGTAGTTTATAAATATATTTATATATGTAGGTGTGTTGTGCATGATAAATCCGCTATCCATGTTTATCTGAGACATGCCCTTTATTTTTAGGATCAAGCCATTTCTACTGTACTCTGCTACCTTAGAGTTGATAAGTCATTTGCTTGACCCACAAATATAGAAAATTGAGTTATTATGAATTTCTTATTAAAATCAAAAAGAAATAAAACAATTATGTGCCTAGCTCACCTGCCCGAAGGGCAACTGAGCTCATGTCATGGTGCAGCGTCCGTTGTCTGTCAACTTCTCCTTAAAGGACTTCTTCTGAAGAATGGACAGGCCTTTCAAGGTCACATGGGTCAAATGTGTCAAACCCTTCAAACGAGTTCTTCTGAAGAACTGAAAGGTATAGAATCTTCAAATTTGGCTGGTAGCTTCCTGGGAAAGAACCCGACAGAGTTTGCGAATGAAAAGCTAAACGACCTTGACATACTTTCAAGGTCACTGGAGTCAAATATATCAAACTCTTCAAACGACTTCGTCTGAAGAACTGAAAGGTATAGAATCTTCGTATTTGGCTGATAACATCTTTTAGTGGAGCCTGACAAATTTTGAGAACAAAAATGACCTTGACTTACAAAGGTCATATAGGTCAAATATGTCAAACACATCGTTGTCTTCTGAATAATGGATATGCCTAGAGTCATGATATTTGGCTAAAAGCTTCATTTGTAAGAGCCTGACAAAGTTTGACAACGATAATGACCTTGACCTACTTTCAAGGTTACAGGTGTCAAATATGTCAAACGCTACAAACTACTTCTATAGAACTGAAAGGTATAGAGTCTTTATATTTGGCTGGTAGTTTCTTTTAGTGGAGCCTGACAAATTTTGAGAACAAAAATGACCTTGACTTACAAAGGTCATATAGGTCAAATATGTCAAACACATCGTTGTCTTCTGAATAATGGATATGCCTAAAGTCATGATATTTGGCTAAAAGCTTCATTTGTAAGAGCCTGACAAAGTTTGACAACGATAATGACCTTGACCTACTTTCAAGGTTACAGGTGTCAAATATGTCAAACGCTACAAACTACTTCTATAGAACTGAAAGGTATAGAGTCTTTATATTTGGCTGGTAGTTTCTTTTAGTGGAACCTGACAAATTTTGAGAACAAAAATTACCTTGACTTACTTTCAGGGTCATATGGGTCAAATATGTCAAACACATCGTTGTCTTCTGAATAATGGATATGCCTAGAGTCATGATATTTGGCTAAAAGCTTCATTTGTAAGAGCCTGACAAAGTTTGATAACGAAAATTACCATGACCTACTTTCAAGGTCACAAAGGTCAAATACGTCCAACGTCACAAACTAATTCTTCTGAAGAACTAAAAGGTATAGAGTCTTAATATTTGGCTGGTATCTTTTTTGGATTAAGGTCGACAAAGTTTGCAAATGACCTTGACTAACTTTCAAGGTCATAGGGGTCAAATATGTCAAAAACATCAAATGACTTCTGAATAATTAAAAGGCATAGAATCATAATATTTTGCTGATAGTTTCTTGCGATAGATCTCATCAAAGTTAGGCAAATTAAAATGACCTAAACAAACTTTAAAGGTCACAGAGGTCAACAACACTTCAAACGGCTTGTTCTCAATTACTAAAACGCATTGATTTGGCTGGTAGCTGCTTAGGATAGAGCAAACAAAGTTTGAGAAGGAAAATAATTGAGCTACTTGCAAGGTCACCGGGACAAAAATATCAAACACTTCATACAGCCTCTTCTGAAAAACCGAAAAGCATAGAATCATATAATAATATTTGGCTGGTAGCTTGCAACAGATTGAGCAGACAAAGTTTGCGATTGAAATGTTTTTAGGACAGTATAATATTTAATGAGAATAATTTGCTATGAGTGATTAAATATAAAGTTGAGCGAAACAGGCACTTTGGGCCTCTTGTTTTATGATATATTTTTTTCAATTTCTACAGGTACTTCCTTACAACAGCTCAGACACTAGTGAAGACATCCTTGATTTTGTGCAGAGCACTTTTCTATCAGGAGAAACAGGTATTCTACATCTGCAAGGTGATAGTCACCTTGTTTATTGGGTAGTTATTATTTAGGGGTGATTGTTGTTCTGTTGAACAGTTATCCTACATTGTGGGGTGATTATTGACATGTTGAACAGTCATCCTACATTGTTGGGTGATTGTTGACATGTTGAACAGTCATCCTACATTGTGGGGTAAATGTTGTTCTGTTGAACAGTCATCCTACATTGTGGGGTGATTGTTGTTCTGTCAAACGGTCATCCTACATTGTGGGGTGATTGTTGTTCTGTTGAACAGTCAGCCTACATTGTGGGGTAAATGTTGTTCTGTTGAACAATCATCCTACATTTTGGGGTGATTGTTGACATGTTGAACAGTCATCCTACATTGTGGGGTGATTATTGACATGTTGAACAGTCATCCTACATTGTGGGGTGATTGTTGACATGTTGAATGGTCATCCTACATTGTGGGGTGATTGTTGACATGTTGAACAGTCATACTACATTGTGGGGTGATTGTTGACCTGTTGAACAGTCATCCTACATTGTGAGGTGATTGTTGTCATGTTGAATGGTCATCCTACATTGTGGGGGGATTGTTGTTCTGTTGAACAGTCAGCCTACATTGTGGGGTAAATGTTGTTCTGTTGAACAATCATCATACATTTTGGGGTGATTGTTGACATGTTGACCAGTCATCCTACATTGTGGGGTGATTGTTAACATGTTGAACAGTCATCCTACAATGTGAGGTGATTGTTGACATGTTGAACATTCATCCTACATTGTGGGGTGATTGCTGTTCTGTTGAACAGTCATCCTACATTTTGGGGGGATTGTTGACATGTTGAACAGTCATCCTGCATTGTGGGGTGATTATTGACATGTTGAACAGTCATCCTACATTGTGAGGTGATTGTTGACATGTTGAATGGTCATCCTACATTGAGGGGTGATTGTTGTTCTGTTGAACAGTCATCCTACATTGAGGGGTGATTGTTGACAGGTTGAACAGTCATACTACATTGTGGGGCGATTGTTGACATGTTGAACAGTCATCCTCCATTGTGGGGTGATTATTGACATGTTGAACAGTCATCCTACATTGTGGGGGGATTGTTGACATGTTGAACAGTCATCCTACATTGTGGGGTGATTGGTTCTTTGGCCATCATTGTTAGGTTATTGTTGATAGGTTGGTTGTCATTGTTGGGTGATTGTTGATAGGTTGGTCGTCATTGTTGGGTGATTGTTGGGTGATTAGTTGTCATTGTTCGGTGATTGTTGATAGGTTGGTTGTCATTGTTGGGTGATTGTTGATAGGTTGGTGGTCATTGTTTGGTGAATGTTGATAGGTTGGTTGGGTGATTGTTGATAGGTTGGTGGTCATTGTTTGGTGAATGTTGATAGGTTGGTCGTCATTGTTGGGTGATGGTTGATAGGTTGGTTGTCATTGTTGGGTGATTGTTGATAGGTTGGTTGTCATTGTTGGGTGATTGTTGATAGGTTGGTTGTCATTGTTGGGTGATTGTTGATAGGTTGGTTGTCATTGTTGGGTGATTGTTGATAGGTTGTTCGTCATTGTTGGGTGATTAGTTGTCATTGTTGGCCAATGGCAAACCTAAATGGTGAATTATGATGGCTATCATCATGTCAGGCATCAGGGTCGGAACCAGAAGGGGTCAAATAGGCTAAAATGTCAACAATCTTCTTCAGACCTAGCCACCTAGAATCAAATACAGTTGTACTCTTCATGGATGAAAATTAAGTTTCTAAGATACTTTATCAAGTTTGTGACCTTCATTAACCATGGATGACCCATTCTCCCAGGGCAGGTGTTAAGTTTACAATGGTTTAAACTGAGTGATGCTTTGATCCATAAAATGTTACGCTATTTATAGCCTGTAATATTAGCTTGTTTGTTATAAAGTTTAGATATATACCCATTTTAAAATGGATTTGCATTGACTACAGGTGTGCAATACAGGTCCAATTTGCCTCTTGTTTAGACATGTAACCCACCTTTGTTCTAGCTGATACATCAGGGCTGACAATAGAGACCATTGGAACCCTTGGAAATGTTGTCAACATAGATACAACTGTCAACAACACTGGTGATGCAGATAGACTACAGCAAAGGAGCGAGGTATTGTTAGGGTATTGCTGGGTGAATTATACTGTGGGATTTGGTAGAAATTTGTGGGCCTATTTTACTGATTGGTTAACTGTCTGGCCTTCAAATGTGATGGTAGACTACAGCAAAGGACCACAGTACTGTTAGGGTATTGCTGGGTAGATTATACTGTGGGATTTGGTAGATATTTGATGGCCTATTTTATCGAGTGGCTATAACTGGTTGGCCTTCCATGGTGAGGGTTGAGGTGAGATTCTGTAGTCATCATGACATAGAATTTACAAAGAGGTTGATTCCTCTCTCCAGTCACTGTAGTCCGAATTATTCTGACATTTTATCGACTTTTTTTATATCAGTCTGTCGTCGATTAACGTCAGAACTCTGGCCCTCTATTATATGCGGGAAATAAGCGACCTGTGCCTGGGTCGCTCTTCAAACTGATATTTTAGAAACAAATCGTCACTTTCACACACATGTCGCACATGGATCGAAATATCTGTTCTTTATGCACAAGATGAACATAAATTACATGCCTCAAAAAACCAATACAATCACTAAAAACATTATTTTTTTGATATAATCCCGCCTTCTAATGCCACGTGACTAAAATCTTGACGACCTACGTGATAACGTTGGGAAATACCTTCGGTAACGCGAGATCTCGTCAAGTCATGTGACATTGCTCATGCCCTAATTTTCATTAAAAACATGGGTTGGTATAAAAAAAAAAGTCGATAAAGCGTCGGAATAATTCGGACTTCAAAGACTTGAGAGAGGAATCAACCGCTTTTTAAATTCTATGTCATGATGACTACAGGATCGCACCTCAACCCTCACCATACAGTGTTTACTGACAGGGGTGAGCAATCCAGTCACTTGTTACTGACTCGATCAGCTAGATCACAGTGTTGAACCATCTGGTCACTTGTTACTTACTCAGCTAGGGTAGCTAGTCACAGTGGTGAACCATCTGGTAATTTGTAACTAGAGATATATCCCACTGTGTTTGGACAGGCATGTGGTAATAACATTCAAGTTAGGTAGCACTATGAAAGTCAGATGTCACTGAAAGTACATCTCCAACACAAACATGTGAAGATATTAGCCAGTTCTTGATAAGAACCTCTGGTTATATTGTCAGATTGTATTGATTGTAGGATTTGTAAATCTATGTGACGTACCTTGGCTTTCTCTAGTAAGATAGGTTACTATATCAAATGTTGTATGTTATAATGTTGTAAGATAAATCTCAGTTAATGACAGAGGTATTGTCAGGGAACATCATTTCTGTTACATACTTAAAAACATGATTTTTGTCATAAAGTGTTGATGTCAAATAAATAACAAGGTTTACTGTCACAATCCCAAATACTATTTGACCTTTGTTTAAGAATGTTGTTCAAACTGCTTCTCCCAAAGTGCCGCATGGGCCAGACTTTTAATGATACTTGATACATGTAACACTTGCATTGAGATGAATTATTGCGAATAAAGTTTATAAGTTGGAGTTACCTCCCCATTTATGAAGTTATGCCCTTTCGTTTAAAATGTTCTGGAAAGAACTGTTTCTATAGTTCTTGGTGCAGGCAGGGGTTTATAGGGACCGCAGAACCAAATGATTTTCCATAGACGATAGTGTTAACGTTTAGCACTGTCCTGGTTAAATAGGGTTATCCACACTGGTTTACCTGCCCTCATTTTGAAGAATATCATCTTGCACAACTGTAAATAAAATATTCAAAAATTCTGCCTATTTGAACTTTTTAGGTCACCTGAGACAAAGTCTCAAGTGACCTATTGTCGCCTTTTGTCCGTTGTTGTCCGTAAACAATTTACATTTTCGACTTCTTCTCCAAAACCCCTGAACCAATTTCAATGAAATTTTGCAGGGACCATCCATGGACAAAGGTCAACAAAAAGTGTTGCCGGTTTAGTCCTACGCCCACAGGGGCCTGAGGTGCGGGGCCAAAAAGGGTCAAATTGACTAAAATTTCAAAAATCTTCTTCTCCGAAACCTCTGAACCAATTTCAATGAAATTTTGCAGGGACCTTCCATGGACAAAGGTCAACAAAAATAGTTGCCGGTTTAGTCCTACGCCCCCAGGGGCCTGAGGGGCGGGGCCAAAAAGGGTTGAATTGACTAAAATTTCAAAAATCTTCTTCTCAAGACCCAGATATGGTAGAATCAAATACTCTTCATAGATGGAAGGGTCTTAAGGTGCTTTACCGAAATTGTGAATTTCTTGACCCTGGGGTCTCACGTTTCCCCCTGGGGAGGGGGTAAACTTTACTATAGTTTATATAGGGAAATCACATTTTGGACCAACATTTGTTTAATTTCCATTGGAAGTAATTCAATTTGGGTTAGCATTATCAGTATTAGGTAGCAGTTTGATAATAAGCACATATCAGCCCTGACTGACCCCCAGGGGCTGATGGGTGGGGCCAAAAAGGGTCGAATTTACTGAAATTTCAAAAATCTTCTTCTCAAGACCCAGATATGGTAGAATCAAATACTCTTCATAGATGGAAGGGTCTTAAGGTTTATGACCCTAGGGTCTCACGTTTACCCCCTGGGGAAGGAGGGGGGGGGTAAAATTTATTATGGTTTATAATGGCAAATGATACTTTGAATATTACATGTTAATAACTTGATTGGAATTATAACCTTGAATTGACAGTTTGATACTTTGAAAATTTTGAGCCAGCCCTACCCCCAAGGGCTGTAGGGTGGGGCTCAAAGGAGTCAGTGTGCTAAAATTTCTTCATTTTCCTTGTTTAGAATCAGAGGTGCTAGTTTCAAATCCTTTTTAGTCTGAAATCTGTATGCTAGATATTGAATAAGGTGGTTTTATTGTTTTTTTGTCACTTTGAATAATATTTCTGTTCATGTTAAAAACAAAATCAACTCTCTGTATAAATATATCAGGTGACCGTTAAGGCCCATGGGCCTCTTGTTTTATATGGGTGCCGCCATCTTGTATTGAATTCGGCACCAAAAATCGTCCAAAATTTAAAACAAATTACACACTTAATAAACTCACCCAGACAAAAGCAGACTAAAAAAAAATTAATATTTTTTTTTATGCATATTACATCTATATATATTGCTCAACCCCCACATAAAACTTTTGAAACTTCTGCCACCTAAATATCCAACCAGCAGGCCCCGAGGCATTCACCTTCCTATTAAATCTTATGCCCAATAGGGAAAAACCCACAATCTATTTTTGATTTGGTTCCGTGGTCCCTATAAGTCTGCCATTCTGACGACACTTAAGTTTAATCCTGTACAATAACTGATTTCAATGCAATCTTAACTCCACTCATACATATGTATCAAATCAAATTTTTATTTAAGCATTTCCTTTGACAGATACGTGAGTTGTTGACCCAGTCCCTACTTAATGCCGAAATCTCACCAAACTTTGATGTGGTCATTCAGGTTGTCCAAATACTGGACAGTCTAGTCAAGGTCAAGGAGGAGGTCACAGAGAAACAGGAGGTACAGGATTGATTGTTATGTACTTCAATGAAACAGATATATATTTATACTTCACAATAATGATCTGACTCAACAAGAGGTACTGACAGAGGTGTCACTTGTAAGCTCACCTGGTCCGAAGGACCAAGGTGAGCTTATGCCATACCGTAGCATCCGTCGTCCGTCCGTCAACAATTTCTTTAACCGACTTCTTCTTCTTAACCACTGATTGGAATTCAACTAAATCCCCCTGGAAGCATCCCTAGGTGGTGGGGATTCAAAATTGTACAAATGGTTGGGCTGACTCCCCAGGGGGCTGAGGGGCGGGGCAAAAAGGGGTCAATTTGGCTATATTGCTACAAACGACTTCTTCTGTAGAACTATGCCATGGATATCAACCATATTTGACTGGAAGCATCCCTAGGTGGGGGGGATTCAAAATTGTACAAATGGTTGGGCTGACTCCCCAGGGGGCTGAGGGGCGGGGCAAAAAGGGGTCAATTTGGCTATATTGCTTTAAGCAACTTCTCTAGAACTAAGAGGTGGATTTCAACCATATTTGACTGGAAGCATCCCTAGGTGGTGGGGATTCATACAAATGGTGTAGCTGAGCCCCCAGGGGGCTTAGGGCGGTGCCAAAAGGGGGCAATTTGGCTATATTGCTATAAACGACTTCTACTGTAGAACTATGCCATGGATATCAATCATATTTGGTTGGAAGCATTCATTGGAGGCAGGGATTCAAAATTATACAAATGTTGGGGCTAAGGGGTTGGGCCAAAAAAAGTGTATTACTTGGAAATGGTTGAGATCCCCACCATATAACTATATATACAATTGCTGAGTATAAAGAGAAGAATGCAGATTTGCTTCCAGGATGTCCCTAGGGTCTGGCCCCACCCTTGGAGACATAGTCCCTTGGCCATAACTTTAAAACGGTTGAGATCCCCACCCCAAAACTATATATACAAATGCTGGTCATAAAAAGACGAATGCAGTCATGATATCAGAATAGACCCTGGGGTCTGACCGAACCCCTAGGGATCTAGTTTCTTAGTCACAGCTTGGAAACAGTTGAGAGCCCCACCCTATAACCGTATATATACAATTGCTGAGTATAAAGAGATGATTGCACATATGCTTCCAGGATGGCCTTGGGGACTGCCCCACCCTTGGAGACTTAACCCCTGGGTCATAACTTTGAAATGGTTAATATTGCCACCCCAAAACTATATATACATTTGTTGGGCATAAAGAGACCAATGCAGTCATGATATTAGAATTGACCCCAGGGTCTGCCCCACCCTTGCAGACTTGCCCCCTGGGTCATAACTTTGAAACGGTTGAGATCCCCACCCCAAAACTATATATACAAATGCTTGGCAAAAAGAGACAAATGCAGTCATGATATTAGAATCGATCCTGGGGTCTGGCCACAACTCTAGGGACCTAGTTTCTGAGTCAAAGCTTGGAAACAGTTGAGATCCCCACCCCATAACCATACATAAAATTGCTGGGCATGAAAAAAATCTAATATAGCTATGCTACAAGGATTGGCCTTGTGGTCTGGCATATTCCCTTGATGCTTAGGTATCCAGGTGAGCGATACAGGCCCTCTGGGCCTCTTGTTAATGAGGTATAAGCCTTTTTTTTTCCAGTTTCAAGCTATACATTATGTCTCAACAGCATGATACTCGCATGTTTAAACCTAACCTCAATAATGTTTACCCACAATATGTCCTGCAAGCGGGGGATATATAGATTCCACGAATTTGTTTGTTGTAATATATGTGGCCATATATCCATCCAACCTTGAATGTCACAGGATCAAATAAAATCAGTTAAAATCTTCCCCGGAAGATCAATAAAGAAGTCAGGTTAATGATATTTAGCCTGTAATGTTACATCTACATGACAAGTTTGTTTAAATATGTTTGACCTCAACTCAATTTCAATGTGACATATATGAGATGTGTTTGCATACTGGTCTATTAATCTCTCAAATTATTTATATTTTCCCTCACAGCTTCTTATTAGGATTTTAAAAGGCTAGCTGGCAAGTAATTGGCCGTATTCTAAATTTTCATCATACTCTGTTTTAGGAGATTACTGTTGCAGTGTTTCATAATCTGACTGAAAAGTTTAACGACATGAAAAAGACTGATATCTTGGAGACAAGGTCTACATCAATGTAAGTCTCCATCCGGAACTTTTCTTTAGTTTCATTGGTCTTTTATTAAAATATCCAAAAGTGGCACTGCACTCTTAAGTAATGATATCCCCAGTCTTCACATCAATTCCTTGTTATTTATGGTAGGGTCTTTGTAGATCTTAGTGATTTCCATGGTATTACAGTTGTAGGTGTGATGTGAATGCTGACTCCCTGCTTTGTTTGATACATTGACATTAAGTTATATTTATGAGAATATCAACTTATTGACAGTTTTACAATGGTGTTTGATAACAGGAATTTACTCACCTCGATGGGGAGTGTCCTAACACTTATAAAGGACAGAGGAACAGACCTGAAGGAAATTAACACAACCAATACTGGGCCGATCACAGAGGCGGCAAAGGATGAAAAGTTGGAAAAGGTCAGTAGTACTGCTAGAGTTCTTTCTCTTACTTGCTTCCAGATTTTCATAATGACTTCTCATTTTGTTTGTTCTTACAAACCCTTTGAATTAAATCTTGAGGAAATTTAAGCCAAAAGCTTTATGCAATAGTGCAGCATCCGTCGTCTGTCAACTTATTCCTTTATAACCTTACAATCTGGACAAATTACATTATGTAGATTAAAATTTTGAGGAAATATGCTATGTTGCATCCTTGAGACTAGAGAATCAAACGTTGTATAATGTTGAGATGTGGTCCCCCCCTTCAGGACCAAGTCAGGGGGAAAAGGCAAATTTTAACCTTTAAAAAACTACTTTTCTTTGAAGGACTACACATATCATTACCGTATTTGGTCTGAAATATGTGGGAGGACAAGGTGATCATATTTTGTACAAATAAAGTCTATATGACCCCTGGGGCTCCCTATAAAGATGGTGCTGGCCATAGGGGCCAAGGAATTTTGAGTATAAAGATGTACCACTTAAAACAAGGAAAAGTATTGCAAGGCAATCCATAGTCCCCCACCGCCCACCGGTAATGATTTCTATATTTAACAAACAGTACACTTATGTCAGGAAGCATAGGTCACAATAAGGTCAAAGTGACCTACTTCTTGCACGCCACCATCCCAAGATGTCCTTGTACACCAAATCTGGTTACTCCAGGTGAAATAGTACAGAAGATATGCTCCAGACAAACTTTTTTAAAAGTAAAGGTCCAAGGTCCAGACTATATAATAATTTGAATATATGTCCTGGACAAACTTCTCAGACAGAAGGACGGAAACCTATAGTGCAAACCTATAGTCCCCCCAATGGGAACCGGTGGGAGACTAATTATCAAGATCTCAATCATAACCACATAAATTGTACCTATAATGGACATGAAGGGATTGATGCATCCATGCTAACACTATTGGCCTTGAGGCCCTGCCCTGCCCCAAGTGACTTAGCCCCTGAGTCAAACCACACAGGGTAGATCCCAATCTTTCAACCATACATGGTATACCGGTATATATATGATTGTTTGAAAGCATTATAAACTATTCTGTCATTGTTTGTCAAAGGTCAAAGTCTCTGTTGCTAGAAGTAGTATTTACTTGTCCAGATTCTTTCAAATCAATATTTATGCAAAGTTCAGTCATGATATTTTGGTTGAACCTAGGAAAATGAAAGACTTCTTTGAGATTGGGGCATCAGAAGTAAAGGACATTGTTACTGACAAAGGAACTTCACATAACCAATGATTTGTCTGTTAATGTTCACTGCCGTATTTTGTCAGAAAAAATTGTTAGAATTGTCCATAGCCTACCTAACATTGAGCTAACAAGATCAAAATATAAATGTGATGGAAAACATTTCGCATGTATCAACAATAAATATTTTTCGGGGGCGATATTCTGCCCTGAAGAGTTGTGTGTGATATGAAGATGTAATTTGAGCTTTACCACATTGTCAGGTGAAAAGGAACAGCCTACAGATGATGGCATCCGTAGGGAAGGTTGTTGACATTCTCACAGAGACAATTGAGTCGGCTAATGAAGCTGTGATCATCCAGACACCGGTTATGTCTGTCAGAGTCCAGGAAATAGACAACATGACAGAAACAAACCTCACCCTCAGTGTGCTGTCAGATAACTCCAGCATCAGTCTCCTACTGCCTCCTACTCAAACTCTCAGACAATCAGTTCCAGGGGCAGAGAACTCTTCTGTTTATACACAGGTGAGGCTAATTCCTTTTACTGAAGTTGAGTGTTATAAATGAAATGTACGAAATTCTCAAGGTTTAATGTGAGAGTAGCCATGAAAAATTGAGGCATAGCTTAGTTGTTGTGGATGTCTAATTTATTGCCAAATTCGAAATAATCTTAATTTTAACAGCTATATTTTTATTTCACCTGCCTGAAGGGCAAGTGAGCTTATGCCATGGCGCAGCGTCCGTTCGTCCGTCAACTTTTCCTTTAAAACGCTATTTGTCCTAAACGGCCCAGTAGATTTGGACTAAATTTGGTCTGGAGCATCCTTAGACCAAGGGGACTCAATTTTGTATAAACAGTGGGTTTGGCCCCCCTGGAGTCAGAGAGGTGGGGCCGAATAAGGAATGGAGGTAAAACCTTTAAAATTCTTCTTCCACTGTAGGAATTAAGGAATTTTATCCTAATTTGGTCTGGAGCATCCTTGGGCGAGGGGACTCAACATTGTATAAACTGTGGATGTGGCCCCCCTGGGGGCAGAGGGGTGGGGTCCAATAGGGGAAATAGAGGTAAACCTTTAAAATCTTTCTTCTACATTAGGGATAAAGGGATTTCATCCAGATTTGGTCTGGAGCATTGTTGGGTCAAGGGGACTCAATGTTGTATAAACAGTGGGTGTGGTCCCCCTGGGGGCAGAGTTGTAGGGACAAAAAGGGGAAATAGAGGTACAATTCAAAATCCTTTTTCCAGTAGGGATAAAGGGATTTTATCCTAATTTGGTCTGGAGCATCCTTTAGCCAAGGGAACTCAATTTTGTATAAATGGTAGGCTTGGCCCTCTTGGAGGCAGAGCCCAATAGTGGAAATAGAGGTAAAAACCTTTGAAATCCTTCTTCTACAATAGGGATTAAGGGATTTCATCCCAAATATGTCTGGAGCATGCTTGGGCCAAGGGGACTCAGTTTTGTATAAACGGTGGAGTGGACCCCCTGTGGGCAGAGTTGCGGGGCCCAATAGGGGAAATAGAGGTAAAAACCTTTGAAATCCTTCTTCTACCATAGAAATTACTTCTTATACCATAGGAGTTAAGGGATTTTATCCCAATTTAAGCTGGAGCATCCTTGGGCAAAGAGGACTAAGTTTTGTATAAACGGTGGGTTTGGACCCCCTGGGGGCTGAGAGTTGGGGGCCTAATAGGGAAATTTGAGGTTTAAATCTTCAAAATCTTTCTTTTCTGTACCATTGGAGGGATTTTATGTAATAAGAATAATTTCCCTTGGTTGCTTTATTATCCAGGTGAGTGATACTGGGCATCCTGTTTTATATATCTTTAAGTAGATCAACCATTAACAATCATTTAAATTCTTCAGTTTGCAAGTGTTGGGTTGGAATCTGTTACTGTCAAACACACAAATATAAATCATCAAAAATGACAATGACATAGCTGTATGCCATATTGCATTTTTCGGTTGGTAAATTAAGATTTTAAAGCTTTTGTATAGGAGTTTTAAGGGTATGTGTAAATTTGTTGATTTGTGATGTTCATCTGTCCAAGTGTTTCATAACAACTGACAAGTACATGATTCTTGCCTCATAATTACCACTGACATTAGATCTCTGTATACCATTGACTAAGGGTTGCTGCATCTGTTTTAATGGAATAAATGTGGTGACATTTTTCGCTCACCTGCGAAGGGCTAGTGAGCTTATGCCATGGCGCGGCGTCCGTCGTCCGTCAACTTTTCCTTTAAACAACTTCTTCGGAAGAACGGACAGGCCTAGAGTCATGATATTTGGCTGAAAGCTTTGTTGGTAGGAGCCCTACCAAGTTTGAGAACGAAAATGACCTTGACCTACTTTAAAGGTCACAGGGGTCAAATATGTCAAAAACTTCAAACGACTTCTTCTGAAGAACTAAAAGGTATAGAATCTTCATATTTGGCTGATGGCTTCCTGGGATGGAGCTTAACAAAGTAAGGGAATGAAAATGACTTTGACCTACTCTCAAGGTCACAGGGGTCAAATGTGTCAAACACTTCAAAAGACTTCTTCTGAACAACTGAACGGAATAGAATCTTTATATTTGGCTGGTGGCTTCCTGGGATAGAGCCCAACAAAGTTTGCGAATGAAAATTAGTTTGACCTACTTTCAAGGTCACAGGGGTCAAATATGTCAAAAACTTCAAACGACTTCTTCCGAAGAACAAAAAGGTATAGAATCTTCATATTTGGCTGATTGGTTTCTGGGTTGGAGCCCAACAAAGTTTGAAAATTAAAATGACCTTGACATACTTTCAAGGTCACAGCGGTCAAATATGTAAAAACTCTTTAAACGATTTCTTCTGTAGAACTAAAAGGTATAGAATCTTCATATTTGGCTGTTGGCTTCCTGAGATAGATCCCGACAAGGTTTGAGAATAAAAATGCCCTTGACATACTTTCAAGGTCAAAGCAGTCAAATATGTAAAACACTTTAAACAAACTACTTCTGAAAAACTAAAAGGTATTAAATCTTCATATTTTGCTGGTTACTTCCTGGAATGGAGCCCAACATATTTTGAAAATGACCTTGACATATTTTCAAGGTCACAGCGGTCAAATATGTCAAACGCTTCAAACGACTTCTTCTGAAGAATTAAAAGGTATAGAATCTTCATATTTCGCTGGTGGCTTCCTTGGATGGAGCCCAACAAAGTTTGAAAATGAAATTGACCTTGACTTACTTTCAAGGTCACAGCGGTCAAATATGTGAAAACTCTTTAAATGACTTCTTCTGAAGAACTAAAAGGTCTAGAATCTTTATATTTGGCTGTTGGCTTCCTGAGATAGATCCGGACAAAGTTTGAGAATGAAAATGACCATAACCTTCTTTCAATGTCACAGGTGTCAAATATGTCAAAAACATCAAACGGCTTCTTCTGAATAATCCATAGCATAAAATTGTAATATTTGGCTGGTGGCTTCCTGGGATAGAGCTCACCAAAGTTTACGAATGAAAATGACCTCAACCTACCTTAAAGGACAGAGATCAACAGTATTTTAAAGGATTTGTTCTTAAGAACAAATGGAATGGATTCATAAGATTTGGCTGGTAGCTTTTTGGGATAGAGCTAACAAAGTATGAGAAGGAAAATGACATTGACCTACTTACAAGGTCATAGGGAAAAATGTCAATTAACTTCTGAAGAAGAACCAAAAAGCATAGAATCTTATAATAATATTTGGCTGGTAGTTTCAACAGATGGAGCTGACAAAGTTTGCGAGGGAAATATTTGAAGTGCAATATAATATTGAATGAAAATATTTTGCTACGACTGCTTAAATATTCAGGTGAGCAATACAGGCCCTCTGGGCCTCTTGTTTGATTGGTCTTTATGTGAGGTGTCAGCTTTTAGTTGGCAGTTATGATATCTACTATCAGGAAAACTAGTATGTTATGTACAAAGGATATATAGTGTTCTAAAAGCACCACAGTAATACGTACTGTATGCCATGGAGAGCCAGAGACAGGTATCTTGGCAGCAGTCATGTCTGACATAGTGTGATATAGAACAATTAATTCTGTTTGGAGTCAGATTGTAGTAACCAAGGACAACATGTATAACTGGGACCAGACTGCAGAAAGATTTACCTCCTCTGTGGTGGATGTCGTTGTCAAGGACGCACAACTCCAGACAAAGACACTCACCAACATGTCCGATCCTGTCACGCTCCAATTCCAAGTGGAAGGTTGGCTTTATTTCACAAAACTATCAGTTTCATGCTTTTTATATGCCCGTCAAATTTGACGGGAGTATTATGGTATGGCGTTGTCCGGACGGCGTAAACTTTTTTATTTGTCTGGCAATCTCCTCCTACATTTTTTCGACTGATCTCTTTGAAACTTGGTATACATTATAATCATGATATGAAGTTGTGTCTCCCTTAAAAGTATTTTGATTCAACAATTTTTGCAAAAGTAATTGCCTTTTGTTCATTTCAGTATTTGATTTTTGTCCGGCAATCTCCTCCTACATTTTTCAACAGATTTCTTTGAACTTAATTTGGTATACATTATAATCATGATATGAAGTTGTGTTTCCTTGAAAAGAATTTTGATTCAACGATTTTTGCAAAAGTTATTGCCCTTTCTTCATTTTAGTATTTGAATTTTTTTATCCGCAGATTTTCTCCTACATTTTTAGCTCACCTGCCCGAAAGGGCAAGTGAGCTTATGCTGTACCGTGGCGTCCGGCGTCAACTTTTCCCTTTAAAAGCCTTTATCTCCTGAACGACTGATTGGATTTTAACTAAATTTGATAAGAAGCATCCTTGGGACCAGGGGCTCAATGGATTTATGAAATAAGGGTGTGGCCCCCTATGGGGGTTAGTTAGGGGCCAAAAAGGGGAAAATTTAGAAAAAAATAAAAAAATCTTCAACATAGCATCATTATACTTATAAACAATACTTATGAACTCGCTTATAATAAACAAATTACAAAAATCCTAAGAATCCCAGCATCATCAATAAATATGGAGAGGTATTCTAATAACTAAAACCAGTATCATAAAGATATATGGAGAGGTATTCTGATTACTAAAACCAGCATCATCAATATATATGGAGAGGTATTCTGATAACTTAAACCAGCATCATAAAGATATATGGAGAGTTATTCTAATAACTAAAACCAGTATCATAAAGATATATGGAGAGGTATTCTGATAACTAAAACCAGTATCATAAATATATATGGAGAGGTATTCTGATAACTAAAACCAGTATCATAAATATATATGGAGAGGTATTCTGATAACTAAAACCAGCATCATCAATATATATGGAGAGGTACGTATTCTAATAACTAATACCAGTATCATAAAGATATATGGAGAGGTATTCTGATAACTCAAACCAGTATCATAAAGATATATGGAGAGGTATTCTGATAACTAAAACCAGCATCATAAAGATATATGGGGAGGTACGTATTCTAATAACTAAAACCAGTATCATAAAGATATATGGAGAGGTATTCTGATAACTAAAACCAGCATCATAAAGATATATGGAAAGTGCCTTTATCTCTAAACCTTGCTGAGATATAATGGTTTATTAGCTCACCTGGCCAGTTGTCCATCCATCCGTCGTCCCGTGTCAATATTATACTTTTAAACAACTTCTTCTTAATAACCAAGAGGCCTGAGGGTGATGATATTTGGCCAGAAGCAAACTGGAAAGAAGGGCTACCAGCTTTTTTCAATTGAATGACCTTCACCTATTTTCAAGGTCACAGTGGTCAAATATGTTAAAAACTTTTAAACAACTTCTTCTGAAAAACAAAATGCCCAGGGTGATGATATTTGGCCAGTAGCATGCTGGGATGAAGAGCTACCAAGTTTGTTCAAATGAATGACCTTCATCCATTTTCAAGGTCACATGGGTCAATTGTCTTCAAAACTTCTTCTGAATAACTAAGTACAAGAGGCCTAGGATAACGGGGGATATTAATTTGGGTCTGTCTGTCTTCGTTTCCGTGCAATAACTACAACAAATGTTAACCGATTTTCTTCAAACTTGGTCACAGGGTTAAATGCCTTGAGGGCTCGGCCAAGATCGATGACCATTTTCAGCGGACATCATTTGGCGGAGTTATGGCCCTTGAATAATGAAAAACATCATTATCTGCTGTGTCCTGTTCTGTGCAATAACTACAACAAATGTTAACCAATTTTCTTCAAACTTGGTCACAGGTTTAAATGCTTTAAGGGCTCGGCCAAGTTCGTTGACCACTTTCAGCGGACCCCATTTAGCGGAGTTATGGCCCTTGAATAATGAAAAACATCATTATCTGCCGTGCTTCGTTTCCGTGCAATAACTACAACCAATGCTAACCAATTTTCTTCAAACTTGGTCACAGGATTAAATACCTTAAGGGCTCAGCCAAGTTCGATGACCAAATATTATCCAAATTCCTTCAAACTTGATAACAATGTTTGTGTTCCTCTGTCTTTCCACCAATCTCGGGCACTCTTTGGTTTTCGTGTGATAATTGGTGTAGATATTGTTCAGATATTTCAACCAAATTCCATATGCACATTCGACTCATGCTAAGTTTTTACGGATAATCAATGAGGTATAGGGCTTTTTTTTTCTTCAAGTTTCAAGCTTTACATTTTGTCTCAACAGCACGATACTCACATGTTTAAACCTAACCTCAATCATGTTAACTGACAATATGTCCTGCATGCGGGGGATATAAATTCCACGAATTTGCTTGTTATACCTATAACTTGTTTGTCAAATTAAATGTAAGTTAAATTAGAATGGAACATTATTATCGTAAATAATCTTTGAATCACAGTATTTTATAAGTGCCTCTATCTCTAAACCTTGCTGAGATATAATGGTTTATTTAACATTCATCCTACTTCTCCTTTCCTTGCTGAAGTCTTCAGGTTAACTTTAATCCAAAATTTTGCAAACTTATCGCTGTAAAGTTTCTTTTTCTGTAGAAGGCACTAAAGTATCAAGTAAACAGAGCTGGATCAGTGTTGTGTTATATTTGTACGGCATGAGTAGATAGTGGTGTATAAGCTTTCAGTATTGCTAGACACATAATTGTACGTACACACAGGTGGATCTTGTTTTTGTTGTCAGTTTTCCTCACTGGGTTTTTATCAAACTTCTTCCAATAGTCAAGAACTTTTAACTCATTCACACCTGAAATTTTATAATGACCTATTCCAACCTTAGAATTGGAGGAGTTCAAATGTGTCTTTAGGGTTGAATGAGTTAATGCCTTTGTGTTACGGTTAAATCTATTTTTAAATCAAATGAATTTTTAAACTATGAGGCTGATGCATTCTGATTGCTGATTGCTGTCTGTGTGATATCTTCTGGAGGGATAATCTTATTTTGACCAAACTTACTTGGAATATTTCACTATGCAACAATTGATAATATATATAATGATATACCAATATCACAGTGTCAAATGGCATTTTGAGGTAAACATTGTGGTTGTTACATTGCTAAGGTGGTGGAACATCAAAAGACTTGACTGTGTTGATTTAATTAAGGGTATTTAGGTCAACATAAAAATGTGGATTTATTAAAAACTGCATTAAACTACATTTTCAAACCAAACAGTGCACAGAACATTAATAAATACTTCTATATGAAACAGAAAGTTGCAAATGTCTAGAGTTGATAGAATTAAAAAGGGGCTATATAATGTCCTCCTTTTGGGAGGGCAATGGCGACATTGTGTAACCCAATAATTCGGTGTACATCAGTCAACAGTTCCGCGGCTAGTTATGAGTCTGAGACATAGAGAAAGGTTATAGAATTGTCCTAGGAGTGTATCCATGTGTAATCTGATGTTGGGACAATTGTATATATATCAAGTCCTATCTCCAGTACTGTTTTCAAATGGCAACAAAGGTGATTGACCTTTACTGACATAAACCGACTATCCCAGATTGGTAGGAAATAGGTTGGTTTGAGGCCATGGCATCTCCATGTTGAGCCTGACAACTTTATAAAGGGTGAGATCAATGCCATGGGGTCATGCTACATTCTATTTGTTTATTGCTGGGAGGCGTGTCTTAATTGTTCACGAAAGGATCTCAATTTTCAGGTCTGATGGGCATGAAAGTGTCTAGGGCATCAAGGAGAAACATTTAATGCTTTTGTAAAGGAAACAGGTTGTAGATACAGATTTGGGGGAAAGTCTATTATATTATTTGGGAAGGTATTGCCATAACACCCTAAACTGATCCAGGGCAGTCTCACAGCTAGCCAATTCTTCTTCCCAAGGAAAGTAGCTGTTAAGATGACTCAATTTTGGCAGAATAATCATTGACCCTGTGATAATATTTTTTGTTCAAGTAGGATATCTACCATTTAACACAAAACAAGAGGCCCAATGGGCCTGTAATACTCATGTGTGATACATCTCACATGTGTGACCTTCAAATACCATCACACTACACACAATGGATCTCTGATGGATGATTATATACAGTTTTGTGACGTACCTCACAACACACCAAAAATAGTGTGCTCATACCATGCATACATCGTTCACACACTGTCTGCACATTACAACAGGATCATATCATTCCCTTTATCACTCAGCATAGGCTGACTCACATTACAACAGGTTCATATCATTCCCTTTATCACTCGAGATAGTCTGACTCACATTACCCCAGGATCATATCATTCCCTTTATCACTCACCATAGTCTGACTCACATTACCCCAGGATCATATCATTCCCTTTATCACTCGAGATAGTCTGACTCACATTACAACAGGATCATATCATCCCCTTTATCACTCAGCATAGTTTGCCTCACATTACAACAGGATCATACCATTCCCTTTATCACTCAGCATAGTCTGAATCACATTACAACAGGATCATCTCATTCCCTTTATCACTCGGCATAGTCTGCCTCACATTACAACGGGATCATATCATTCCCTTTATCACTCACCATAGTCTGACTCACATTACCCCAGGATCATATCATTCCCTTTATCCCTCAGCATAGTCTGACTCACGTTACAACAGGATCATATCATTACCTTTAGCACTCAGCATAGTCTGACTCACGTTACAACAGGATCATATCATCCCCTTTATCACTCAGCATAGTTTGCCTCACATTACAACAGGATCATCTCATTCCCTTTATCACTCGAGATAGTCTGACTCACATTACAAAAGGATCATATCATTCCCTTTATCCCTCAGCATAGTCTGACTCACATTACCCCAGGATCATATCATTCCCTTTATAACTCGACATAGTCTGACTCACATTACAACAGGATCATATCATTTCCTTTATCACTCAGCATAGTTTGACTCACATTACAATAGGATCATATTGCCAGACCACCCATTGAGAGAGATTTTCACAATTCTAAATTGACCCCCTTATTAACCAGATTTCTCCCTAATGAGCTTTTGTGGGGAAAAATGAACAGAAGGGATAGAAAGAACGTAAACACCTTAAACAATTTTGCCCAGCTCCAATTCTGGAAGACGAATAATTAACATTTCATCACAAACAGTAAACAGATTGATGGAGTGTATACACAGTGATGGAGTGTATGACACAGTGATGGAGGGTATGACATAGTGATGGAGTCTATGACACAGCGATGGAGTGTATGGCACAGCGATGGAGTATATGACATAGGGATGGAGTGTATGACATAGTGATGGAGTCTATGACACAGCGATGGAGTGTATGGCACAGTGGTGGAGTATATGACATAGTGATGGAGTGTATGACACATTGATGGAGTGTATGACACACTGATGGAGTGTATGACATAGTGATGGAGTGTATGACACAGAGATGGAGTGTATGGCACAGTGATGGAGTGAATGACACATTGATAGAGTGTATGACACAGTGATGGAGGGTATGACACATTGATGGAGTGTATGACACAGTGATGGAGTTTATGACACAGTGATGGAGTGTATGACATAGTGATGGAGTGTATGACACAGTGATGGAGGGTATGACATAGTGATGGAGTGTATGACACAGTGATGGAGAGTATGACACATTGATGGAGTGTATGACACACTGATGGAGTGTATGACATAGTGATGGAGTGTATCACACAGTGATGGAGGGTATGACACATTGATGGAGTGTATGACACAGAGATGGAGTGTATGACACAGTGATGGAGTGTGTACACAGTGATGGAGTGTATGACACATTGATGGAGGGTATGACACACTGATGGAGTGTATGACATAGTGATGGAGTGTATGACACAGAGATGGAGTGTATGACACAGTGATGGAGTGTATCACACAGTGATGGAGTGTATGACACAGTGATGGAGTGTATCACACATTGATGGAGTGTATGACACAGTGATGGAGTGTATACACAGTGATGGAGGGTATGACACATTGATGGAGTGTATGACACAGAGATGGAGTGTATGGCACAGTGATGGAGTGTATGACACAGTGATGGAGTGTATGACATAGTGATGGAGTGTATGACACAATGATTGAATGTATACACAGTGATGGAGCGTATGACACATTCATACACATTGATGGAGTGTATTCCATAGTGATGGAGTGTATGACACATTGATGGAGGGTATGACACAGTAATGGAGTGTATGATACAGTGATGGAGTGTATGACACACTGATGGAGTGTATAACACATTGATAGAGTGTATCACACAGTGATGGAGTGAATTACACAGTGATGGAGTTTATGACCCATTGATGGAGTGTATGACATTGTGATGGAGTGTATGACACAGTGTGTACAGGCAATGGTTGCCAGTATGACACATTGATAGAGTGTATGACACAGTGATGGAGTGTACGACACACTGATGGAGTGTATCACACATTGATAGAGTGTATCACACAGTAATGGAGTGTATGACACAGTGATGGAGGGTATGACATAGTGATGGAGTGTATGACACAATGATGGAGTGTATCACACATTGATGGAGTGTATGACATTGTGATGGACTGTATGACACAGTGATGGAGTGTTGACACACTGATGGAGTGTATCACACATTGATAGAGTGTATCACACAGTGATGGAGTGTATGACACCGGGATGGAGTGTATGACACACTGATGGAGGGTATCACACATTGATAGAGTGTATCACACAGTAATTAAGTGTATGACACAGTGATGGAGTCTATGACACAGTGTGTACAGGCAATGGTTGCCAGTATGACACATTGATAGAGTGTATCACACAGTAATGGAGTGTATGACACAGTGATGGCCTGTATGACACAGTGTGTACAGGCAATGGTTGCCAGTATGACACATTGATAGAGTGTATCACACAGTGATGGAGTGTATGACATGGTGATGGAGTGTATGACACAATGATGGAGTGTATCACACATTGATGGAGTGTATGACACAGTAATTGAGTGTATGACACAGAGATGGAGAGTATGACACAGTGATGGAGTGTACGACACACTGATGGAGTGTATCACACATTGATGGAGTGTATGACATTGTGATGGACTGTATGACACAGTGATGGAGTGTATCACACAGTGATGGAGTGTATTACACAGTGATGGAGTTTATGACACATTGATGGAGTGTATGACACAGTAATGGAGTGTATGACACAGTGATGGAGTGTATGACACAGTGTGTACAGGCAATGGTTGCCACTAATGGGGAATGAAACTCACTGTTACCACAATGTTTATGACAATGCCACTTGTATGATAATACATGTGCATTACAAATCTTCAGCATTTAAGCAGAAGGGATGTCATTTATTGTTAAACAAACCTATAATCTTTTGAAAAAAATATCTGGCTATGAATTGTGAACTTGATCTAGGACATGCTGTTAGTAAATTCATTTTAATTCAAGTGTGAATTTTCAGTTTTAGAAGATTCAAAACAGAAAACACATTATTGCCACTGTACTTTTTTTCTTATTATTATTAGACCAGAATCTTGAATCCAGTACACTGGAATTTACATATGAAACAGCAAGAAGTCAAGTCAAATCAAGCAGCCTGCTGAAGGTCAGCTTGACCAACCTTGACCCTGCCATGGCCTTGCAGGTGTATGCCAAGGTCGTGGAGTCAGACCTAACATTGATGTTGTACCGTACCACCAATGAAACAGTGTTTTCAAGAACAGTACAGCAACATGGCATCCCTATACCAGTTAAGCTCTGTCCCCAGAGATAGCACCACAACACAGCATCCCTATATACCAGGTAAGCTCTGTCCCCAGAGAGGGCACCTCAACATGGCATCCCTATACCAGTTAAGCTCTGTCCCCAGAGATAGCACCACAACACAGCATCCCTATATACCAGGTAAGCTCTGTCCCCAGAGAGAGCACCACAACATGGCATCCCTGTACCAGGTAAGCTCTGTCCCCAAAAAGAGCACCTCAACATGGCATCCCTATACCAGGTAAGCCCTGTCCCCAGAGAGAGCGCCTCAACATGGCATCCTTATACCTGGTAAGCTCTGTCCCCACAGAGAGCACCACAACACGGCATCCCTATACCAGGTAAGCCCTGTCCCCAGAGAGAGCTTACCTGGTATAGCGATGCTGTGTTGTGGTGCTCTATCTGTGGACAGGCCTTACATGGTATAGGGATGCTGTGGTGTGGTGCTCTCTTTGGGGACAGAGCTTAGCTGGTATAGGGATGCTATGTTGTGGTGCTCTCTTTGGGGACAGAGCTTAGCTGGTATAGGGATGCTATGTTGTGGTGCTCTCTCTGGCGACAGAGCTTACCTGGTGTAGGGATGCTGTGTTGTGGTGCTCTATCTGGGGACAGGCCTTACATGGTATAGGGATGCTGTGCTGTGGTGCTCTCTCTGGGAAAAGAGCTTTCCTGGTAAAGGGATGCTGTGTTGAGGTGCTCTCTCTGTGGACAAAGCTTACCTGGTACAGGGATGGCATGTTGTGGTGCTCTCTTTGGGGACAGAGCTTAGCTGGTACAGGGATGCCATGTTGTGGTGCTCTCTCTGGCGACAGAGCTTACCTGGTGTAGGGATGCTGTGTTGTTGTGCTCTCTTTGGGGACAGAGCTTACCTGGGATAGGGATGCTGTGCTGAGGTGCTCTCTCTGGGGACAGGGCTTACCTGGTATAGGGATGCGATGTTGAGGTGCTCTTTTTGGGGACAGTGCTTACCTGGTACAGGGATGCCGTGTTGTGGTGCTCTCTCTGGGGAAAGAGCATCCCTATACCAGGTAAGCTTTGTCCCCAGAGAGAGCACCTCAACACAGCATCCCTTTACCAGGAAAGCTCTTTCCCCAGAGAGAGCAACACAACACAGCATCCCTATACCATGTAAGGCCTGTCCCCAGATAGAGCACCACAACACAGCATCCCTATACCAGGTAAGCTCTGTCCCCAGAGAGAGCACCACCACATGGCATCCCTATACCAGGTAAGCTCTGTCCCCAGAGAGAGCACCACAACACAGCATCCCTATACCAGGTAAGCTCTGTCCCCAGAGAGAGCACCACCACATGGCATCCCTATACCAGGTTAGCTCTGTCCCCAGAGAGAGCACCTCAACATGGCATCCCTATACCAGGTAAGCTCTGTCCCCAGAGAGAGCACCACAACACAGCATCCCTATACCAGGTAAGCTCTGTCCCCAGAGAGAGCACCACAACACAGCATCCCTATACCAGGTAAGCTCTGTCCCCAGAGAGAGCACCACAACACAGCATCCCTATACCAGGTAAGCTCTGTCCCCAGAGAGAGCACCACAACACAGCATCCCTATACCAGGTAAGCTCTGTCCCCAGAGAGAGCACCACAACACAGCATCCCTATACCAGGTAAGCTCTGTCCCCAGAGAGAGCACCACAACACAGCATCCCTATACCAGGTAAGCTCTGTCCCCAGAGAGAGCACCACAACACAGCATCCCTATACCAGGTAAGCTCTGTCCCCAGAGAGAGCACCACAACACAGCATCCCTATACCAGGTAAGCTCTGTCCCCAGAGAGAGCACCACAACACAGCATCCCTATACCAGGTAAGCTTTGTCCCCAGAGAGAGCACCACAACACAGCATCCCTATACCAGGTAAGCTCTGTCCCCAGAGAGAGCACCACAACACAGCATCCCTATACCAGGTAAGCTCTGTCCCCAGAGAGAGCACCACAACACAGCATCCCTATACCAGGTAAGCTCTGTCCCCAGAGAGAGCACCACAACACAGCATCCCTATACCAGGTAAGCTCTGTCCCCAGAGAGAGCACCACAACACAGCATCCCTATACCAGGTAAGCTCTGTCCCCAGAGAGAGCACCACAACACAGCATCCCTATACCAGGTAAGCTCTGTCCCCAGAGAGAGCACCACAACACAGCATCCCTATACCAGGTAAGCTCTGTCCCCAGAGAGAGCACCACAACACAGCATCCCTATACCAGGTAAGCTCTGTCCCCAGAGAGAGCACCACAACACAGCATCCCTATACCAGGTAAGCTCTGTCCCCAGAGAGAGCACCACAACACAGCATCCCTATACCAGGTAAGCTCTGTCCCCAGAGAGAGCACCACAACACAGCATCCCTATACCAGGTAAGCTCTGTCCCCAGAGAGAGCACCACAACACAGCATCCCTATACCAGGTAAGCTCTGTCCCCAGAGAGAGCACCACAACACAGCATCCCTATACCAGGTAAGCTCTGTCCCCAGAGAGAGCACCACAACACAGCATCCCTATACCAGGTAAGCTCTGTCCCCAGAGAGAGCACCACAACACAGCATCCCTATACCAGGTAAGCTCTGTCCCCAGAGAGAGCACCACAACACAGCATCCCTATACCAGGTAAGCTCTGTCCCCAGAGAGAGCACCACAACACAGCATCCCTATACCAGGTAAGCTTTGTCCCCAGAGAGAGCACCACAACACAGCATCCCTATACCAGGTAAGCTTTGTCCCCAGAGAGAGCACCACAACACAGCATCCCTATACCAGGAAACTCTGTCCCCAGAGAGAGCACCACAACATGGCATCCCTATACCAGGTAAGCTCTGTCCCCAGGGAGAGCACCACAACACAGCATCCCTATACCAGGTAAGCTCTGTCCCCAGAGAGAGCACCACAACACAGCATCCCTATACCAATGAATCACTAAAGACAATCTGCCGCCCTTTCTGCCTTGCATGAAGAGAGAAAAAATATTTGGCGGAAATTCATGCACTTTGGAGTCTGGCTAGGGTCCAATAGTTATTGGGTCAAAACCTGGAAACTAAAGAGATTCCTGTCCTGTAAGCATGTATACAATTGCTTCAGACGAAGGGACAAATACACCCACATTGTTATGATTGTCTTTAGGTTTCTGGTAATTTTATGAAAGGATTACATAATTTGGATGAAAGGATTCTTGGACCAAGGGAAAAGTGTAGGAATATAAGGTATGGGCACACTGAGGGCTGCAAGAATATTTTAACTTTAAATTAAAACAAAAACATGGTGAAATGATAACATGTCCCTTGGTCATTGTTATCCTCTGCTTTCAGACAAAATGTGGTATTACAATATGTTTGCTTTGCCTGTTTGTTTGACTGATTGCGGGACTTCAGTTTCTGTAAAATAACTACACAAAAACACTCTAATTTCAACCAAAGTGTGTATGTACGTACATGAGGGTAAGCTCTAGTGAGATTACATGATTCTCGACAGTTAATTTGATTCCATGTGATAACTTACTCATTAAGATGGCCAACTTACTCATTAAGATGGCCGGCTGATGTAAGCAGAAGCATTTGAACCATTTATTGATCTTTAATCAGGAGATTAGTACAGGATTTATGGGTTTCTTTTGTAACAGATTGCAATGTGGATGTGCTGATCCTCAGTATAATGAGTCATTGTTAAGTATACTTGACTGTTTTTGATTGTGTAACAGAGGGCAGTGCTGACATGCTGATACTGGAGGGGTCTCACAAGTATTTGATTATAGCTGTTCAAGAAGGACAGACCATCGCAGCAAATGATATAGCAGTTCAAGAAGGGCAGACCATCGCAGTAAATGAAACTGATGTACCTTTTATAACCACCAATGTATCTGTCAGAATTGGCAACTACAACACTGCGTGTGGCTTCTACGATAATGCCAAGGGTCAGTGGGCAACTGACGGCTGTCAGGTACATATCTAAGGTATCCTAGGGCACCTGACGGCTGTCAGGTACATATCTCAGGGATCAGAGGGCAACTGACGGCTGTCAGGTACATATCTCAGGTATCAGTGGGCAACTGACGGCTGTCAGGTACATATCTCAGGTATCCTAGGGCACCTGACGGCTGTCAGGTACATATCTCAGGGATCAGTGGGCAACTGACGACTGTCAGGTACATATCTCAGGTATGAGTGGGCAACTGACGGCTGTCAGGGACATATCTCAGGGATCAGGGGGCAACTGACGGCTGTCAGGTACAAATCTCAGGGATCATAGGGCAACTGACGGCTGTCAGGGACATATCTCAGGTATCATAGGGCAACTGACGGCTGTCAGGTACATATCTCAGGGATCAGTGGGCAATCATTTCTAAGTTATTAGCTTATGATGGCCGAAGGATCACGGCTAGTTTAATATACCATTCAGTGACATCTGTCCATGAACAATTTTTCATAACAAAATGTTCACCATATTTGACTGAAAACATCCTTAGGTGATGGGGATTTAAAAGTGTACAAATGGAGGGACTGTCCTCCCAATGAACGGGGAGCAAGACTTAATAGTAATGATTTGGCCATATTGCTTTTAAACAGATTAGCTATAAATAAAATGAACTATATAGTTGGTAAATTTGAAAAGACTCATTTATATATGTACTAGCGGAAAAAAGAAACTGTGCATGCAGAGAATTGTTATAGAACATGTATTACCAACTGTATATACATATAATACACATGACCGAGTATGACACATACACACTATCCGTGTGTCATTGACAGTTTTTTCCGTGCAGTTTGCTCTCTATAGGCGTTGACCAGTTTGCATGTTTTTTCTCGTCCAGCCATCCAATTCGACAATGAAAGTTTATTTTTCCACTGTTGGGTCACTCTAGATCTGTTGAGACCAGTGAACAGTAAAAACAGCATTATAATGTTTTAAATTGTGATTAATGCTATGCCGAGGCTCAATGAAAATGAATGCCTCCGGATTATTGGTATGCTTCAAGCTGGTATGGGCCAAGCCGTTGTCTCTACACGTTTTCATGCCCATCGAAACACAATCCGGGATTTGTGGAGACGACATCAACAGTTTGGCCAGGACGGCGATCAACCTCGTGCGGGACGTCCACATGTGACGTCAGCTCAACAGGACAACCATATCCGGCTTGTCCATTTGAGATATAGCTTCCAAACAGCAAAGTTTGACTGCATGGATAATCCCTGGGTTGCTACCAATAAGCCCGAGAACTGTACGGAACCGATTGCGTGAACGAGCTATCCGTCCGCGACGTCCTGCAATCCGCCCAGTTCTTCTGCCACGTCATCGTGTAGCACGTCTGGACTGGTGCAGAAGGCATCTGCGATTTACTCGACGGGATTGGGCAGGCATTTTGTTTACGGACGAGTCGCGAGTCCACCTGGATAGTAGTGACGGCCGTTCCAGAGTGTATCGTCGCGTTGGAGAACGTTTCCGTGACGCGTGTGTGGTACAACGACGTTCTTTCGGCGGAGGCAGCGTTATGATTTGGGGCGGCATCACAGCCAACGGGAGAACGCCTCTGGTGGTTGTTAACGGGAATTTGAACGCGCTACGTTACCGTGACGAGATCCTCCGGACCCACGTCGTTCCATTCGTGCAAGGGCAGCAACGTCACATTACGCTACAGCAGGACAACGCCAGGCCACACACAGCTCGTGTCGCTATGGACTTTCTGGCCCAGCAGAACGTTGACGTGTTGCCCTGGCCTGCTGTATCCCCCGATCTGTCGCCCATTGAACACGTCTGGGATGAAATGAAGCGCAGATTACGGGCATTACCTAATCAACCGGTGACGTTGGCTGATTTGGCTGCAGCGTTGGTACAGATCTGGAATGCCATCCCACAAGCATTCTTGAACCGTCTGATAGGCTCCATGCGTCGACGTTGCCAGGCTTGCATTCAGGCAAACGGTGGACATACGAGGTATTAACTTTGTGAACTCAGTATTGACCCCTGCTGTGTTTACGTCACCCCTTAGTGAAACTTATTGATTCCATAACGTGGAAAATGGAATGCAACTGTTANACTGTACGGAACCAATTGCGTGAATGAGCTATCCGTCCGCAACGTCCCGCAATCCGCCAAGTTCTTCTGCCACGTCATCGTGTAGCATGTCTGGACTGGTGCAGATGGCATCTGCGATTTACTCGACGGGATTGGGCAGGCATTTTGTTTACGGACGAGTCGCGAGTCCACCTGGATAGTAGTGACAGCCGTTCGTCGTGTTGGAGAACGTTTCCTTGATGCGTGTGTGGAACAACGACGTTCTTTCATCGGAGGCAGCATTATGATTTGGGTCGGCATCACAGCCAACGGGAAAACACCTCTGGTGGTTGTTAATGGGAATTTGAGCGTGCTTTGTTACCGTAAAGAGATCATCCGGCCCCACGTCGTTTCATTTGTGCAAGGGCAGCAACGTCACATTACGCTACAGCAGGACAACATCAGGTCACACACAGCTCGTGTCGCTATGGACTTTCTGGCCCAGCAGAACGTTGACGTGTTGCCCTGGCTTGCTGTATCCCCCGATNTACCTAATCAACTGGTGACATTGGCTGATTTGCCTGCAGTGTTGGTACAGATCTGGAATGCCATCCCACCAGCATCTTGAACTGTCCGATAGGCTCCATGCTTCAACGTTGCCAGGCTTGCATTCAGGCAAACGGTGGACATACGAGGTATTAACTTTGTGAACTCAGTATTGACCCCTGCTGTGTTTACGTCACCCCTTAGTGAAACTTATTGATTCCATAACGTGGAAAATGGAATGCAACTGTTAATAAATAACAAATAAATTGTACCTGAAAACCTTGTTGTTCTACGTCATACACATTTTAGGCATGCACAGTTTCTTTTTTCCGCTAGTATATATATATATGCCATATTCCTAAAATAATCCACTTTTGTAAGGATTATTAGTTATCCATACTTGTTTTTGAGTAAAAGTCCGACCAAACATTAGAATCAGTTAAGTAAAAATAGAGGAAGGACTTACATTACAAAGTAACCTAAAATGGGACAAATACATCAGCATAACATTAAATGGAACTTTAAAGTAAATATGACTACTTCTCAGTGTTAAGGTTTGATTACTAGTATTGAGAGGGACATTTCATGGTGTATACTAGGTTTCCTGCCCAAAGGGCTAGTGAGCTTAAGCCATGGTGCGGCGTCTGGCGTCCCGGTGTCCATCAACATAATTTGAGAACGAAAATGACCTTGACCTCCTTTCAAGGTCACAGGGGTAAAATGTGTCAAATACTTAAAACGACTTCTTCTGAAGAACCGAAAGGTATAGAATCTTAATATGTGGCTGGTAGCTTCGTTGTTAAAATCCCAACAAAATTTGAGAACGAAAATGACCTTGACCTTCTTCCAAGGATACAGGGGTCAAATACTTAAAAGGTATGGAATTCTAATATGTGGCTGGTAGCTTTGTTATATGCCCATTAAAGTTTGAGAACAAAAATGACCTTGACTTACTTTCAAGGTCACTTGGGTCAAAAGTGTCAAATACTTAAAACAATTTCCTCTGAAGAACTGAAAGGTATAGAATCTTGATATGTGGCTGGTAGCTTAGTTTGTAAAATTCCAACAAAATTACAGAACGAAAATGACCTTGGCCCACTTTCAAGGTCACAGGGGTCATAAAAGTCAAACTAATCAAACAATTTCTTTTGAATAATCAAAATGCATAGAATCATATTACTTTGCTGGTTGCTTTTTGTGATTTAGCCCAACAATGTTTACAATGAAAATGACCTCAGCCTGCTTTCAAGGTCATACGGGCCAGACACTATAAATTACTTCTTTGGGATAATCTAAATGCATAGAATTATAATATTTGGCTGGTAACTGTCACAGATGGTGCCCAACAAAGTTGGCTGTTGAAAACTACCTCAACCTACTTTCGCGGTCACAGGGTTTAAATATAGCAAAAACTGCAAACAGCTTCTCTTGAAGAAGTGAAAGGCATGTTGACAAGTAGCTTCCTTAGATCAGAGCCCAACAAAGTTTGCTCCTTTACCTACTTCATCCTATTGCTTTATCTTGATCTAATTTGATATAAAGTATCCTTGGCCCAACATGATTCAATGTTGTAGAAACCATGCCCCCATCCCAATAAATGGGACCCAATATGGTAAAGATGTTGCTGAGAGACACATTTGTATGTCGAAATATTTGTAGTACAGTATAATATTCATTTAATATTTTGTTTTGACTGCTTAAATATTAAGTTTAGCGATACAGGCCCTCTGGGCCTCTTGTATTATGTTGAGAAATTAATTTGTTTGATGTATGGATGCTAATTGTCTGTTGGTTATGTTAGGGATATGATTCCTACAAAAACTGTTTGACTTGTATCATGCTGCAATGCTGTTTTTTCCTTGACAGATTTCCCCTCCAAAAAACCTGAAGACAATGACTTGCTCCTGCAACCACTTGACCTCTTTCGCTGCAGGCTTTATTGTAGTGCCTAACCTGGTTGCCCCTATTGCTGATGCAACTCTCTTCTTGACCTTCTTTGACAATCCAGTTATTGTGATTACAGTACTGATTGTGTGGTGTCTCTACCTAATCATGCTGGTATGGGCGCGACGCAAAGACAAGGTCGAAAGCATGAAGGTTCGTCATTGGTGTCTGTTATCACTTAGATATCAAAGTTTGTTGAGCATAGGTTAGGTCTAGAGTTCAACCTTTGTCTCGTGTGAAGTATCTCCAGTCACCAGATACCTTGATTGTGGAACATAGGTAAGGTCTAGAGTTCAACCTTTGTCTGGTGTGAAGTGTCTCCAGTTACCAGATACCTTGATTGTAGAGCATAGGTAAGGTCTAGTGTTCAACCTTTGTCTAGTGTGAAGTGTCTCTAATCACCAGATACCTTGATTGTTGAGCATTTGTAAGGTCTAGAGTTCAACCTTTGTCTAGTGTGAAGTGTCTCAAGTCACAAGATACATTGATTGTGTAGCATAGGTAAGGTCTAGAGTTCAACCTTTGTCTG